CTAGAGACTTACCTATTCCGTCACGCGAGGTGGAATAATTTTAACGCGAAAGCCATAAATCGCTGGCACGCGTGCTGTACCTTGTACTCGTCGCGATGAAGCCCCGTACACGAGCTACTCGGGATAGAAATATTAATATCACCGTTTCTAGACGACAGAGCCGTCGTTCCGTTCCAAAAGGATATGGATTAGTGATGAGCGCCAGACACCAGTTGCGCGGCCGTGTACTCTGGTCGAGGTATCGCATGACAACCGGCACGAAACCAGGATAGGGTAGCTCGTCGCCCTCTTCCTCGTCGTCTTCGTCGTCGTCGTCATCGTCGTCGTCCTCCTCCTCGGCGAGGACACGTCTGACAGTCGACTGGCCACCCCCGTCCTCGTCCTCGTCGTCCTCGAGATCGCTGAGTTCGGCAACGTCGCTGTCCGAGCCCTGTTCGCCGTTCGTTTTCGCCGCCGAGCGGTACCGATATCCTTGGGGGTAGTGCGACGACATGCTTCTCAAGCTGAACCTCGACCTCCTATCCTGGTAGCTGACGCGAGGGTCCGTTTAACGCCAGGCGAACTGGCCAGGTGCTCTCCGGAGAAGGTCACTGGAAGATTGATCACCGGGTAGAGTTTTCCTGAGTAGCTGTCGAGTAGCGAAGGTCGACGCCGTTGCTCCAAGCGACGAGATCAGCCGCGAGTGTAACACCGACATCGAGGACACTGTCTATCGGTTTTGGTCAACCTTTTCAGCTCGATCACACCTGAACCTCGGTCGACACGAACGCGTTTCGCTCCACCAGAGACATTTATCGCGGGCTTTGTCCACGGTCTCGGGATCGAACAAGTCGTCGCACGTCCACTGGCCGCATTTTCCGCTGAAGCGATATAGCGGTGAAATCCAGGTGCGTAGCCTCGCGCTTGCCCAGTCCCTCTCACCTGCAGTTCTCACCTTCGGGTGCCCTCTTCGGTGTCGCGAGCTCGGAGCTCACCTGCTACCAGGTTGGCTCGCGCTCAAGCGGACGCGGCCGTACGGTAGCTCCTCGACGTCGGGGCACATCGAGGAACCTGGACGCGACGCGACGCGACGCGACACCACCTGGAGCACCGGTCCTCGGAAACACCTGGCTGACTCGGCTGAGAACGGTCGCGAGTTGTTGCACCAAGATGGAAAGCGAAACGCGTGAGCGGCGCGTGGCGTGTCGCGTGGCTCCCCGTTAAGGAGTCGTGTCGGGAACTGGCCTCCGCCGAAAACTATCCCCGTCCGTTGGTAACTCATACACTGATCGTGCGCAACGCGCCTCGTCTATTCGAATCGTTTCTCTCTGGAGGAAAATACACGGAGAACTGCGCCCCTTGTATCAATTACCCGTGAACGTACGCGTCGACGGCGCCCGGTGCAGCGTCGACCGGTGACTGAAAAAAACGTCGAACATCCTTGTCGACAAAACTGAACGCATGCGCGACCCCTCCGTCTACACCTCCCTCGCTCATCCGCTTCATGACCTCCTGCATCCTCCCTCGAGAAGATCTGGAGATCCTCCTACTCCGCTCTCCGCCGCTTTCCTCTTCCTCCTCCTCATTACTCTGCCCCCTTCGTTCGTTCGCGGACACCACTCCAAGTGGAAGGCAGGAAAAGGGAAGAGATAACCAGAAGAGATGCCTACGAAAATGCTGCCTCTGGATGCTGCTCCTACGGATCTATTCGATTTCGACTTTCGCGTCGATCGAGTGCGATGCTCTTCTTTTCTCTGCAAAAGGTGACGTTCGATAGGTGATTAGACCTCGAGATCGCGGACCAAGGTACGCATTTATTCGACAGTGTTTGTAGTTTTTATATAGCGAAAGTCGCGAAGTAGAGACGAAGGTAGGTGTCTTTTATGATTACCCTGTTGTGCAAGAGCGTGGGGTTGTGGTGCTACGTGTGCTGAAGGGGATGAAAACCTCTTTACTAGATTCGAGAGTTTCTAGTAGGGCCATAAATTAAAACTCTTTTAATAATGGAACATTATTGACTTGCATGCTTTTGATCGAGGAATATGCGCTAGCCAAAGTTATGTTTAATTTGATTTTCCTTTTACGATAAAAGAATACATGTTATGTAAGACTGATGTACGAAGGCTTTTCAAAAAGAGCTTTATGATTATGATTTAACGCTAAGCCTGCCAAGCAGGTCAATTTGAGCCGTGTACTTCAAAGTTCTTCTTGAAATCATTCAATTGTTAATAATGGTTTAGGCAACTTTTGGAGACAACTATTGTAATAGAGAATCAATTTTATTGGTAAATTAGTTTGTTCCTCCTTGCTTTAATTACAAAGATGCATGTATGTATGTATGAGAAATATGCATTGACCTCGATTGTTATGGTCATAATAAAACATATGGACCTTCTCTGATGGGAGGAGGGTGGAAATAAAAAAATATTCTAACACAAGACGAAAGAGTTGAATGTAGCAGGAAAGGCTGGGAACCACTACTATAGATTAAGTAACATGATATCTAATTATATAATATGTTAATGATTTTATGCTATTATAATTATTTATCTACCTGTACAGATACATGCATAAAAAGAAACGATTTTTTAAAGTGAAATAGCTGTTTACTTGCCTCACCTACGTGATGGCCAATATTGCAGCAATATTACACTTCCGTGTAGGTAAATATAAGGCACAGAATATACGTAACTTCGTTTATGCATGAAAAAAAGATCTGTTACATTCTTAAAATGAGTTTCTTCTGTGGCAGTGAGACGACATAAACAAAGCTTAAAGTATTTGATAAGATTGGCCAATAGATAAATAATAAAAGCTTGAAACGCTTTGAAAATGGGGTCTTTTAATTCCATCGTACTTGAAGAGCGACTCCTGTACACTATGTCTTTGTTATAGCTCTAAAGTAAAGAAACCACACGAACTCGAGTCAGGAGAGTAATGAGGCCATTCCGTGGCGTTAGGGTAATGGTTCGGATAGCTCAGCGTAACCACATTATTGCCAAATTGCTGATTAATAGCTTCCAAAACCTTTCGTGGCCTCCATAGAGGCGCGCCATCTTGTATAAACCAACAACCATTTGTAATTTCTAAGTTCTTCCTTTGATGTAGTAGCTTCGGTCGCGCCTCTGCGATCCTACGAATGCGACCTCGAAATACCACGCTATAATTTTCAAAATGAGATAAATAAATTTCCTTTTTAAAAATAAATAAACTTCAAAATTAATTATTGATTATAACTAGCGAACAGTCAAATACGATTAGCTCGGAGAAATTATAAACGACTGATTTATTGTTAGCAAGAATAATTTCTTGACAACTCTTGTTCTATTTGAGATAATAGGCAATTTTAGACATTAACAAGCGTGTTAAGTAAAAATTGGTCCTTAACTAAGTAAAAAAAGATGTTTATCTGAATAGGCATTTAACGTAGAAATAATATTGATGCGCACTTATAGTCATGTTTAGACAAGAAACTACAAAATACAAACAATATGCGAAAATATGAAAAGAATTGAAAACAAAGTTTATGTTTATAAAATGTCCAGAATAAAATAAATTCCTATTTAGGTTCAATTTTTGTGGGCACGTTCGCGAAGATTTTATTTTACATAAAGATCCGCAGTCTAGTCATGATCATTGTTGGAAACATCTTTTTATTTACTTTATCACTTTAAACAAATGTCCGTTTCTCGATTCGTCTATTCATGTGTAAACTTTACCTTTTCTCAACATCTATAATCGCTGGTTACAAATGTAATTCGTGAATACTAATTATAAACCGACAATTATCAGTGATCACTACAAAGCTAACAGCTGGCTACCTCTGTCTCTTTTTGTCGAGCAGTCGACGGCGCGCGACGTGATGTTTTATGGCTGTATACAACCGTTCGTCTACACGCATATGCCTACAGAATAGTGACTTCTGGTAGCAATTTGCAAAATCCATCCTGAAGAAGAATATGAATGTAAGTGTGAGTAAACGAATCATTTTTTATTTAAAGAATGCAAAGAATATAAATAATTGCGTAATCAGTAGTTCATAACATTCCTGGCTTACTCCAAGCTTCGGATGTCTCATTTTCAAACGAGATATAAAATAAATGTATAGCATTTATTAAAACATTCTGAAATGAGTATAAAATATACATGTAATAAATAGAGTTAGCATAAGCATTCCAAATATTCCAAGCATTCAATTCAAATATAATATTTAGTATTTGTCACTTTCACTTATTATACAAAATTCAAAAGTCGATTGATTACCAAAATTGTATCCTGTTGGACGAACAAAGACGATAGTGAACCATTGTCTGATTGGCTTGAAGATGTATTTTAACGCGTTGACCGCCGCGCAAGTTTTCCATGACGTTTGCTTAAACTATTATGTAAAAAATAGAAATATTCAACAGTTGGTTGAGTCATTCTTATTTCTAGCATTTGTAGCGATAGTAACTTGATTGGAAAGTTTGCAAGTTTCTTTTTTATTAGATGCAAGCGTTCTAAAAATACATTGGAAGTTTGGAAGCATCGGTCATCGGTGGGCCAACATGACGGTCATTGTGGTAAAAGCTCGAAAACTGTAGAAAAGATTTTGCACGTGTTACAGGTTAAGATTTCCTAGAGCTAAAATTCAGCAAATCTCCGTTCCGGCTTCCTTCCCACTTTCTCCTCTCATCTGTCCGATTCGTCCTCTCTTTTCCTCTAGTGGTTTATGTACCGCGTCTATTTTCGGTTGGAATTCGACACGAGATTTTGCGGTAGGCATCGCACTACACCGCTCTCGACAAAAGTCTGTCGATGATCAAAAACCACCACGCAGGAAAAGATTATCCGCTGGCGCAGATTGCCAACGGTTTATTCGAGATTTTAAATGTGTTCTGCCATTAACCTTAATGGACTCGCGAGCCTGACGGAAATCGAATGTCGAGTATCTGAAACGTTCGAGAAGAAAACATTATCGCGCATTAACAATTACATCACCTTAGCCTTACATTAATAATTAGCATGAAATAAATAGCTCGTACTTCCAACATCTTCGCTTTATTTAAACAAAAAAAAAAGTATTTACAATCGTATGTAACAAGTATTAACTTCCCTCAATTCTCAAGTAACAATCGATTTTTTATTATACAATTCAACGTGTAACGTGTACAGCAAACGTGTCCAAATTGAGCTCTTAGAAATCTGAATTACAACGAATTCACTATTTAATGAAGTGTTGGAATATCCCCGCTATTCCACTAGGAGCTATACTATAGTATATATATATGTTCGCCGTAAGTTACGTTTCTTGGAGCTTATCTTGGACACCTCCGGCATATGGTTTAGTCGAATTTATTACATTTTATAGCGTACGTAACTGCCTACAAAACTGTTTTATTTTCCTGTGTAACCTAGCGGTCTTCGTTCACCGTGACACATAACCTTAGAAAAACTGAAGTCGAGGCTTGTCGAGCCCACCTTTCAGAAAATCTTAAATATATGCTCCTTTCCCCAAGTAAAATACTTCTAGAAAATTGTTTATTGTCGTTGATATATCAAAGTTAATATTTACGTATCGGCTTTGATTTTAAAGTAGTAATTTTTAACCGATTGTTTACCAATCGAATAAAGGGAAACGCAGGTGGACTCGATGAGCAACCTTCTTAGTTCCTAGCATAACAGCTCGTGATTCAGTCTTCCTAGAGTTATACAGAGTTAAAGGTTAGTTTAAACGTCTATAAACTGCAATTATTATTTGGTAACATATCGCTGGTCGTCTAGCAAAACTGCCAATCGTACAGGATCCGTAACAGGTAAAGAGCACGTATGGTTTCGACAAACGTAAGCCGTTGCTCGACCATCCAAAGGTTTCATTTTGCAAAGATGTTCGTTTCTGCGAAATAACATACTACTCGTGTCATCGGGATCGGCAAAAAGAAGAGTCCTCCCAGGTATCAAACGTTCGTACACAACGCGAAGTAAGTCATTGGTATCCTTTGCGTCCCGTTTCCCAGCAATATAAATCTGCAAAGCAGAATTTATATGGAGTCATATTTTGAATATGTCTATATAAGCTTAGAAAAATTAAGAACCACCGACTTACTGGATATTCGCAATATTCACACTAACCTGGGTTGCATCATCGTAATAACGAACAAGCGCCAATACTAGTTGTGGAAGCGCGATGGGTCTTACCATCAACAAGCGTCTAAACGATCCAAAAAGACGTGCGGCTCTATCTTTGAGTTCGCTGCGATCCAAGTAATCGGCCAGTCGCAGGAGATTTTCGGCGGCAATCGAGTTGCCCGATGGTTCTGCTCCGTCGTGAGCTGCGAATAAGATTATAAATCTTCTCGAAATACATGGCATATCTTTTTCTTTCATTCAAGTTTTGATCTAATATCAAAATCACAAGCAAAACTACCGCAGCTTGATGGACGTAATGGCTGGGCTTAATGAAACACTGAGCAGACCGCACTATAAATATTTGGACACGCTCGGCTTTACTACAGAATATGGGTTTCCTTGATTTCATAGCCCAACGTGACCGCAACAACTACACGTGCCGTACGAAACTGTGAGTATTTTAATCGCCGAGCTAAAATTATCGCAAAAGTACTTAAGCATACCCTCCTTGAGCCGAAGAATTATAGCGGGATCCTCCGACGTCGTTGAAAAGTATCCACCGTTCGCTTCGTCCCAAAAGAGTTTGTCTTGAATATTTTGTAATTTCTCGGCTAATTCTAACCATCGTACTCTCAGGCTAGCCTCGTACAAATCTAACAATCCTTTTACAACGAACGCATAATCGTCTAGAAAACCAGCTATGGGAACACTCCTAAAAAAGTGATATTAACATCTGTGTTATATCGGACAATTTTTATAATAAATATTTAATACTAACGTTTGTGTAATTGCATCTTTATCATCGCGGTAACAACTGCGAAGTAGTACACCTTTAGTCTCGTCAAAGAGGTAGCGTTCGATAAATTTTGCTGCATCAGCCGCGTACTCAATGTATTGCGTATTACCAACCGCTGCTCCTCCACGCGCCAAACCACTTATCATGAGACCTAGAAACAATTTATAATTTGACGCTTTTACGGCTTGGTTCCTCATATTTAACATTAACTGAGGCTTCCGGTAGCCAATGAACTATGACATGAGTATATTAGGATAACTTAAACTGCAAGGTTCGCGAAACGTCGGAATATCTTAACCTACAATCCTTAATTAATATCAACATCTATAATTGTTTACCGTTCCATGCTGCAATAATTTTATCGTCCAAGTGAGGTCGCGGTCTTGCCGACCTAGCTTTGTACAAAATGGAGCATGCTTCTTTCAAATGCGACTTCGTTTCTTCATTAGTCAGATTAAACTTCTTAGCGGTGTCTTCAATTCCATTATACATTATTAATACATTCTTTCCTGTTAACTCTCCGTGAGGATCCTAAAACCAAGAAGAATGTGGTTTAGCCCTGATTACATTTCCCGGTTAATACTAATAAGCCGTCATAGATTAAACAATTAACCTTGTCAACAATTTTGCTATTCTGTAAATATATAACATACTTGATACTTTTTTACGTTCCCTGACTCTTTTATGTTGAAATGGTGACAGAAAATATCGGACAATTTAATGTTCTTTCCACCAGAAATTTCTTTATCTAGAAGCGATTTAACTTCTGTAGCAGTCCACACATAAAATGCACCCTCCTTTTTTGCATTTGCATCAGGTGTAGGGTACGAGTCAGCATCTTCAGCACTATAAAAGCCCCCTTCCTAAAATAAGTAAGACAAAGATTGAACACGGATATCAATGCATCCACAGAGTACACAATGTATTGCATACTTAACTAAACGGAACTACTACATAAAGTAAAAAAGAATTATACCTGATGTCGTAGATCTCTTACTACGTATGTAGCTATGTCATCAATAACTTCAGCAAAAAGAACATCTTTCGTCGCGAGATATGCATCTGCATAAGATTGCATCAACTGACCCTGATCATATAACATCTTTTCAAAATGAGGAACATGCCATTCACTATCGGTTGAGTATCTTGAAAAGCCCTAATTAAAAATAAATATTAAGTTATAATTAAATATTTTTCAAAAAAAATTAAAACAAAGGTTTCCATAGCCGTTTTTAGATGATAACGCGTTTTACTAGTTAAGTAAATGTTATGTTTTAACCAAAAATTAAAATTCTTACCTGACCTACGTGATCATGAATGCCACCGTAGGACATTTTTGTCAAAGTATATACACACATGTGCAAACACTGTTTGGCAATCTCTTCTGTGGGTTGACGTATATACATATAAAATAAAAAATTAAGATTCACTGGCTGTGGAAACTTGGGCGACTGCATATATTCTGAACCAAATCCACCAAATTCAGGTTCAAATTCATTTGTAAGCTGTTGAATGCATATTTTGCAACATTCCAACGATGGGACATCATCTGTCTACATAAACAAATTGATAAGCAATAATAGATATATTTCTATTACTAAGAACAAAATATAAAAAAATACAAAACTTTGTCACTCATTATTTTACCTTTGATGTATGTGAAATATCAGAAATATTTTGTAGTGTTTCAAGATTATGGGAACCAGATTCTATCATTTTGGTTTTAAGTTCTTTCCACTACAAAAGATAAAATATAGAAAAGTTACACGCATTTTCAATTAAATAAATACATAATAAACATTAAATCTACAAAATATATAACAATCAATATATTGTTTGTTATTTATTGTACACCTTTTATTGGTAAATATTGTACTTTTCTATGTTATTAGTAGCAAAAATATTCATACCTTTTGAGCGATATTAAGCAGGATAGTTTTAAACCCAGTTTGTGTACGTGTGTCTTCTGGAGGAAAATATGTCCCACCAATTACGGGTTTTAAATCAGGAGTGAGAAATACACTCATTGGCCATCCACCATGACCAGTCAATGCCTACATTAAATAATATTTCTTAATTTGTAACTACTCAGTAATTACTATGATTTCTTATACAGGCAGTTTTCCAGTCATGTTTCTGAAACATATTTTACAGCTAAAAATGAGATCATTACCTGTATAAAAGTCATATATATTCTATCAATGTCTGGTCTTTCTTCTCTGTCTACTTTTATATTAATGAAATTCTCATTCATTATCTTAGCAATTTCCTTATTTTTAAAGGATTCTTTCTCCATAACATGGCACCAATGGCATGTGGAATACCCAACAGATAAAAAAATCAGTTTATCCTCATTCATTGCTTTTTTTAAGGCTTCATCGCACCATGGATACCAATCAACCGGATTGGTAGCATGTTGTCGTAAATAAGGAGATTTTTCTAAAGCAAGTCGATTATTTGTCTCCTGCTGCTTGTTTTTAGAGTTACTTGTTGAAGCCATATTTGCAGAAAAAGTCAGAAAAGTCAATGACTTTTCTCGTGTCCTATTAAATTTGTTTACTAATTTATGTATTTGATTTTTATACAAAAATTATACAAACATATATATTTTTACAGGCACTTTCACACAAAATAAAGGATTATTATTAGCAGTACTATTCCATTTTTAACAAATATCTACTAGATAAAATTAATATTTTACGAAAATGATGTAATTTGTATTTGAATGTGCTACCTGCCTAGCTGATGTACACCGATTGATAAAGAAGCACCTTGAAGTAAATGAGACTTCGTGCCTCGATTCTGACCGCACCGTTGTTTAGTTAACTCGGATGTGTAACGAATTATTGACAAAAGACAGCATCTTCCCAGTGTCATAACAACTTTGGCATGAAATTGCACCTGATAAAAATTGAAATTTCGATTACTGCTACTCTAAAAATAAACTTTCGATATTGTTTTATTAGTAAAAAACATCGAACTTCCGAAACATGGAAACTTATTAACCCTTTGCAGTTGTATGCCGAGTGGGGATCGACATAAACGTAATGAAAACAGAAAATCTGGACCACAAAAGATTAAAGAGTTTATTCGACAATTAAATTCCAAGAACTACATTATATACGTTTATTTAAAACAATAACTGTTGAGAAATTATTTACTCCGTCTTTGACCAGTTTACATAAACGTCATTTTAACAAATGAATGTTAAATAATGTTTCACATCGCGTTCTTATTCCGTGTACCTTTATTCACATTCCTTCTACTTCCAAAAATAATTAATGGAATTATTTCTGTTTTTAAAAAATAATCCTAAATAAACTGTTTCTTGCGAACGTATAAAGCACTTACTAACAACTGCCTTGCATATTTTCATGCGAACCAATGCTAACAGAATGCGAAGTGATAGCAGTTACGACAAATTATGCAACGATAGATTATCGATAAAAATATTTAAAATTAAAACAACTTTTCCCTGACAAATGAAATCACATTCAAGTAGAATTGAGTTTATTTAAAATTCCTACAAAATTGATACACTTGCATTTATACAATTAAAATTACAATTCAATAATGGACAAACGCAAGCAATTAATCGTGCCACAACCTACTCTATATAGTAAGTATTAGCTGTGCTGACAATGAGTGATGCTGAAGCAAAAATGGCAACAATAACACAATAAGTCCAGCTGCGATATACCTAACCCAACCTACCTTATCAGCCTTCCTGCTTATCGCCAGGGGGGCACCAACAAAATTTGTAGCGCCCCGTGGGAAAAATTCGCCCAATTAAAATGTAAAACATTCATATATATATATATATGCAGTAGCGGGGTTTTTAAATTCCTTTAAATTATTCAAAAGAAAATAAATCAGAGAAAGTGCAGACTCAATTTGAAGGATTTCCGTCATTCCAAACATTATATTTTTTGACGACGAAAATCCCTTGAACTGCGTGTGCACATTCCTTAATTTATAGAAATAGAAACGAATAAGATATTTATATAACAAATTATTCAATTATTCAATTATTCATACTTTTTACATTGTTTTTATTGGTTTTCATCTTTTCTGTGAAAGTACAATACTTCGTATACATTTGTACATCAACCAGTTTTACAAAATATTGTTATTTCGTAATATAACAAGCACAGTAGACGTCAGTGTATGACAGTTGATGACAGTGTATAACACGTGTTGGACATAAACAGATCTACGCAACATAACCTATACTTACGACAATATTAAATGTCAATGTAGTTTAAAATTAACTTTATAATATGTATGTATGTTTTTAAAATCAGACAACAATATCATACCGCAATTGTACTTGTTTGTAAACAGTAACTGTTTGTTGTAAAGTGAACATAATTTGAACTATGAGTTAGTACAAAATTTTAATTAGTACTATTTTTAATGAATTTAGTATAATTGTATTTAAATGTATATAATACAATTGTTCTAGGTACAGATACAAAGTTATGTCAAGGGAAAGATGTTTTTGAAAGGATGAATTATTTATATCAGGTAATTGGTAACTGTAATACTTGATCATTCTTTGTATATTACTTTGATCAATAGGAGAAAACAATTAAAGCAAATTTCTATTCAGGCAGGTCATCTAATGGCACTGAAAAATAGAGTGGCAGCATCATACTATGGTAATACAATGATAGGATGTGCAAAGAAATCTGTTTTACGAATGTAAGTTTTTTCAATGAAACTACAACTATTTTATTAAAACAGTTAAGTATATACAATTTTTGTTAGAGAATCTGATATTAAAAGAACAATTTGTAAATGCTGCCAATGTCCGCTTATACCTGGTGAAACAGCTAGAGTACGATTAATGTCAAAACCAATAAAAGGAGTAAAATGGACATGCATGACATGCCTAAGTGTTAAAAAATATCCTACAAAAAAAGGCTATAAATTATGGACTGAGCAGCATGACTCTGTGCTACAAACTTTTAATTACGGTCCAAAAACAAAAGATTCTAAACAGAAAACAACCATGTAGCGAAAGGTGAATGCATAAGTACTGGAGAAGAATCAATATACACAGACTTGAATATTTATTTTCATCTGATGTAAGATGTGATGAATGTCGACATACGAATATTTTTTTTTTATCAGTGACTTACATAAAATATGTTACAATAAATTTATAATCAATAAACAGATATTTTACGAACTGGAATATTCATAACCATCTAATAATATCGTGATACTGATATTAGTTTTACATTAAATGCTCATAGACATAACATGATCATCGTTAAGTTATTGTTTTTCGAGTACATGATATATTATGTGGTGTGAGCCATTCGCAATAAATTTTTCAGACTCCGATGCACATGCGTTTCGCGGAGGACGGTTTAAGTAATGAGAAGTGATGTGGCCATTGCAAATAACACAGAATGATTATGTTTTCACATAACATCGAAATTTGATGCGAATGGCTCCATTTAACTAGCTATGATATGACTATATCCGCCCATCGCCAATGAGTTGTACGAAATCTCAAATGCAAGTTAATCGTCGCATATATACTTGGGCATAATCAAATCACAGATTACTCGGATAAAAATCAGTCGTTTAACTCTAACTTAAATAAATATAACATATACAGGGCTTTCAAAAAGTAACGAGCCCGCCCCTTACCTCATAATCTATGTATTATTGGAAAAAATTACTCTGCCATAATTTCAAGGTTCAACAAGTTTTGTTTCTCTGTAACTTCAAATTTAACTTTGACTTTGACCATAGAGGTCATTCAAAGGTCAACTTTCATTTTTCAAATGGGAACCGTTATCGGAAAATTTTACGTTCAAATATAGTCTCGTTTTTGAGGTCATCGTGATCCCTAGGGGTCATTCTGAGGTCAAAAGAGTCGAAACTATGGAATCTTCCGCATAGGTGTGGTCGTAAAAAATAACCAAGGTAAAGGTTGTAGAGGTTAAAGAGGATATGAGGTGATTCGAGCGAGCCGTGTTCCACGATTTCCACCTCTTACCAAAACATTCCATGATTTCGGTTACTCCTAAAATATCAAGTTATCCGAACGTCAAGTATGTACCTTTTTCCAAATCCAGTGTCATGCGGTGTCTCCATACGGAAAAATCGAGGTGACCTTGGAATGATCCAAAAATTGACCTCTAGGAAAAGCTCGAACCACTTCATGGCCTCTTTTGACCTCTATAACTTCTGCCTGGGTCATCTTTTATGACCACCTACTTGTTCCGAAGTAGGTTTACGTTGAACGTAAAATTTTCCGCTCTTTCCGAATCTGAGTTTGAATATAAGGGTTCCCCATTTGAAAGATGAACGTTGACCTTCGAATGACCCCAAAAATCAAACTCAAGGTCAAATCTGAAGTTACGGAAAAACAGAACTTTTGAACCTTAAAATTGTGGCCGTGTCAATTTTGTCAATAATGCATGGATTCTGAGATAAGGGTCGAGTCCGTTACTTTTTAAAAGCCCTGTGTAGTAAAAAATAGTTGTATATGAAAGTATGACATACATATATCAATATTTCAATGGAATTTTGTTCTTATTAGAAATATCTTTAAAAGTATGGGCTTGTTCTTCATTTAAACACATTTGTTGCATTAATGCCAAAAAGTGACATCCATCTGTTCATGAAGAAAGTAATGACACTATAAGTACGTTCTTTTTCTTCGCATGTAAAACGTACACAATTTATATAAATACTAACCTAGTGAGGAAGTAATAAAAAAACTGCGCTGGACGGAGTCTACACATTCACTTATATACATATATCTGTCGTGCCAAGCTTCGGTCGTTAAGCTATTTCACAGTGTCTATTATCTAGCATTTTTGATTTTTCTAATAGTGAATCTAACGTTCAGTTAGATGAGACCACAGATTGGCAACGCACACATATATACATGCACACACCAGCTACAGGGAAATATTTATTCCAGTAATATTGACTGTCATTCATCATTGTTCTTCATTTTATACTCTTCGGTTTTGCAGAAGAGTTTGAACTGAAATAGCAATTGGTGTACACTTAAGGTAGAATTCTCTGCGTAATTCGGGATAGTTTTCGCTCTTCTTATACGCGCGTCTACTCGCAAGACAAACCTAACGATATTATCCGATTATTGTCGAAAAGGTGTGTGCATGCGAGTTTCTTTTTTTTTTCAGAGACGCGTGCAAGAGTTAGAGCTATGAATAAAGAGGTACAACGTATGGTGATGAAGTTATACATTGATTGAGAGGGGGGATTCGCGTGAAACTTAATTTATACTAGTCCAGAAACAAACTGGGGTTGACCATCGTGATCAAGTGTAAGTTGTGGCATCACATTTGAGGATGGCTGGAAGGTTGATCCTTGGAAACCCATGGCAGATTCATAAAGCTAGAAAAACAAAAAAAAAAAGCATCAATACAAGGACTTGTTCGCTGAAGTATAATTTAATGGTTTGTCTCGATAAACTTTTTCGAATACATTGTGATTTCCTGGAAGCGTTGTATAATCTGGCGTAGTTGGACGGTGCCTGTTTGTAGGCAGTGGACGTTGTATGGTAGCGTAAGTATTATCTTGAGATGTGTCGCCCATACCAACACTTACGCCACTTCCTCGTCTTTCTGTACCCAGACCACCTTCGGGTTCGCTAAATACTTGCATTGTTAGTTCTTGTTCTTCATATAGTTTGAGCTTCCTAGAATCATCGGAATAACCATGTATTCTATGAAATTGTATCGTACGCACAATGAAATGTGTTAACTCACTGTTCAATCCACAATGGATTTTCTGTGGTATTTAACTCGTCGATTATTTGTTTCTTAATTAGGCCGTCTTTCTTTCGTATATCGTTTGGCACAGTAATCACCCTAAAAAGGCATATAGTATAAAGTATTTCACATTGTATACGTTAAAAGAACAAAATGTGTGAACTTTTAATATTTACCAATGACGCAAACAGCAACAAACTACTGTTACTGTAACTGCGCCTACTAATAAAACTACCAATAAGGCTATCAAAGCTGCGAGTGCTGGATCGAAAGATTCCTCCTGTACTCCAGCATAAGCAGGCTGAAAATATTCCAACGTTATCGATAGATCTTACGTTATAATAGTCCTGGAAATAGAAACTACTTACCACAACATTTTCAATTGCAAACCCAGCATAGTAGTCCTTCAAAAAATCATATTTCGCATCGATAACCTTAAGTACTTGTGGTACAGGAGCGATGGTCTGGGATTTTGGCTCCACAACGTGTAAATACATATCACACCTATGGAATGCATTTAAATATTATGCTAAACCGTACTATTGCGAGAATACATCACAAATATTCTCTTACCATTCTCTACGAATGTGACCTGATGCATCCACGTGATATCGGATATCATCAACAACAACTCTGTTTTGCGTTGCATTTGATAATTCCGTTACAATCTCATCACGTTCGCGATTCACTTCCTCAGGAGGCCGTGATAGGATAACTCTTATTAATTGCGAGGGCTCAAATACCCAAACCTTAATGAAATTTGAACAAAATACGTTAGAAATTAAACGGATCATTCCACGCAAATTCGGACGCTTTTTGGAGTAACATGGTG